TTTATGACATTTTGTATTTTGTCAAATTTCAATTCCATGGAAATAATGGATCCCAAATTCTGCTTGTATTCTGTAAGAACTCATTTGAGGTACCTTGGTTGAAAATATTTTGCCCTATGATGTACCATTTTGCCCAGTTAAAAGTTAAATATAGGAGAGTTTAGTAAGTGAGTAGATAAAATGCCACAAAAATATTTTATAGTTATGAGCAATTATTTCAAAAAGAGCATGTTATACTTTAATAAACATTATCTGATCTTGACACTGGCTAAACGAGCTGCTTAAATCTGTTCTGAAGGCTTGAAAGAAGTTGAAAAGTGAAATTCCATTCTCATGGATTATTTCTTCCAAAAGCAGTGTACTTTGAAACATCAGATTACAGCAATATGAATTTATATACCCATCATAATTAATTGACATAATTAAAACCATCTTAATAATTAATTGGATTAATTTCACATAAACACACAATGGCAGTGCTTTCATTTAGACTGGAAACGTTCCCCACAGCACTAACACAGGGATTCCCAACCCCTGGGCTGCAGCTCACTACTGGGCCTTCAGCCGCTTGGAACTGGGCTGCAGAAGCAGCAGGCAAGTGTGCGTGCATCCCCACTTGCGCAAGCAGGTGAGCGCTTGCACATGCGCTCCATTAGTGCAAGGGGCAGGCATGTATGCCAGCTACTCACGCAAATGGAACTGCAATTACGTGTGCTTTCCGGGCGCTTGCGCAGAATCATCCCCTCTGTCTTCTCCCACTTAGTCTGCAAAGCCAGAAAGCTTTGGGGAACTCTCTTCTGGATGGAGAAATAGGCGACATGAGAATCAAAACATGTTATGGAATCCTATCAGTACAGAGCCAGGGCAGATAGATAATTCTCCAGTCCAGAAATACCACAGAAAGTATTCGTTTGGAAGTACTCTTAGATCCAGTGCTGTCTCATGAAAGCCAAGTGGCACACAGCATTTTCTACCAGCTGTGACCTTTTCTAGACACAGATAAACTGTGATCCATTTTCATTGCTGTAATGCCTGTTGATTCAGCGCTCTGGTTGCTTTGTTTAGACTGAGCCATGTTTATCTCAACTCAGGAGCTACCTTGAGTGCTCATTCATTTCCAAAGAGCTAGTTGTTGGTTCAGTCAGTTCCTTTATCCCCAGATGGACATGTGATGGCACTTTCAAGTGTGGGAGTGTGGAGAGTTAACCCCTCTCTAGCTCCCTCTCATGACTGTCTCTCATTGTTGCTTCTCTTCCATTTGAGATGCTATCGTGGACCCACAGCAACTACGTACCCTTTCAGGCATGTTTTGATATCCCATCCCCCCCTTTCCACTACGAATGTCCTAAGCCTTCCTTCCACGGTCTTTACTGTTGCAGATTCTCAAAATTGAGGGAGGTGTCTCTTAACAGGATGTGATCATAATTTTTCCTATAGGGCAAATTTTCTCCCTATTTGTGTTTTGGAGGAAGATGGATCTTCATCTCTCATTTCTAGTCAGAGCTGCATGGCATCTAAGGTTGCTTCTCTTGCAGAATTATGTACTAGTAAAATGTGTACTTATCATCTATATTAACAATTAAGGAACCAGTTCAGCATTAAAATGATGATGAGGAAAGGAGAAAGGAAAATGTCCTGCCAGAAAGAAGGCCCTGTATAACATAAACACACAATATATATAAAACAAAATGAAACTTAAGGTTACAAAGCAGTAGCTAAGAAAGACCCATAACATCATATTTTAATCATCCCAATTCACGACATTTTACTAAATAGGTACTCCTTCTGAATCATTAGTCCTAATTCTAGGCAGGACTGGAGTGGCAGGTTCTTCTCTTGTAGAAGCCAGCCAGGGGAGATTCCTTTCTCCTGTGATAGAAGAGAAAGAACCCAGGCTGAATAGAAAGGATCCCTCACCTTTTAAAAGCACATAGCAAAAAGAGAGAAAATCTTGGTTTACTTAAAAATACAAAGAGCTTCCTGGGCTTAGCTGGATCTCTGCCCGCTCTTTAAATGGACTTGCCTTCACTTCAGACATCATTTATTCCAGGAGTATATTGGAAGCCATAAATATGTTTATTGTCTACAAGGCGGCTTTATTTTGGAACCAACATTGGAATACCTCCAGCAGGATCCTGACTGCCAACAATGTATTTTTGATAGCAGGTTAAAGATAGAATTAGTGGCCCATGTGTGGTCTGTGGATTGTCTATCACTGCTTTACGATGGTAGTCCCAATCTTCCAATTTCATTAAGGCCCCACTATAAAAAGAGATAACTAAAGGCTGAATAATTACTTTAAATCAGTGGAGTTTCAAAAATACTTTACAAAACCTCATGAAAATTTTCTGCGGTTCAATGCTACTCACTTATAGTTTAATTCTACCTAACTATGGAATTGCTCAAAAATTTACAAAGTGAATTCAGTCATAAAGAACTATGCCATGTTATTCTTTCAGCCATATATAATCTTCAAGAAATAAAATAAAAGCTAGATCCCCTTGGATTTCAGTCTTTTCTAGGAAAAAAAAGATTAGGCTTACATGGAAATTATAGATCTCCATTTCACCCCCTCTGATTGCGTAGGAACAATCCCCTAAGGAAGGGTAAGTGGGGGAAACCATCAAGAGAGATTCTAGCTTCTGGATCATCCAAGTAGAAGATTTTTGTTCTAAATACATCATCTCTGACAAGCATTTCTCTGAATGCCGGAAAAAGGAAGATTAGAACATAGCAAAACAAAACTGTCCCCATCTTTCATAATCTTTTTCTCAACAAATCAAACACCATTTTCCAATTTTCTGAGGAAAAGAACCCAGTCTTCCTCTAAGGAATAAAATAGATGGTTTGATAATAGCCTAGGGCAGGGGTGTCAAACTCACATCGTCACGGTGGTGTCACATGACATATTGGGACTTTTACCCCCTTCGCTAAACTGGGTTGGCATGGCCAGCGTGTGATGCATCTGGCCCATGGGCTGGGAGTTTGAGAGCCCTGGCCTAGGGCATCAATCTTCAATTACTGAATGAAGTGGAAAACCTAATGACTCTTTGCCACCCCCTATTCCCCAACACCTGGTTTCTAGTAAAATTCCAGGTCTCAGTATTGGCTGTAAGGCTAGAAGACTAGGGAGCCATTTTTAAACCTTGTACTCCAACACTGGTGTGAAATAGCAGGATGCTTCTTTTTTTCTTAAATTAAAATAACATTTGAACTGGAAAAAACTAAACATTAAGGTGATATTTTACAGCAGGAGTGTCAAACTCGCAGTCTGTGGTCCGGCTGCCTCACATGCTGGCCACCTCTACCCCCGTTTCAGCGAAAGGGGAAAAAGTCGTGATTTGTCATGTGACGTGAGTTTGACACCCCTGTTTTACAGGATCTCAAACAGGTATACATGATCGTCTTTTCAATTTAATCTTCACAATTACTTGAAGCAGACTAATCTGAGAGTCTGTTATTGGTGGTTCACATATCTCACTAAACTAAAATGTCCTTTGCTTAGGAGCATATTATGTGAATTGTGATAACTGTGGTTCATTCCACAAACAATAGTTTAGTGTGTGGCATGAGGATTCTGAATCAGCTTGGTTCTTCCAAGTTCCAGGAAAATGAAGTTTTTAGTTTTCAATCGTGACATTTACCCTGCTGTTCTATAAAATAGAGAGATCACTTAGTAAGTCATAAAGCAGCTGGTCTTCTCCTACCTATTTCCACTATTATGTTGTAAGCACCTTCCAGAATATCCAGTTAGACTTGTCCTATCTGACAAAAATGGACACTAATGATAGTAAATATGCCAGAAAAAGAGACATTAAATTTGATAGAACTTTCAAGTTTATGCAATTTAATTAGACTTTGTTTGTATTATGAGACTAACACAGCTCTTCCCCTACCTCCACTAATCAATGTTACAACATTAAGTACATGATGTACTGTGTTCTAGAAGATCTTATACTACTTTGCAAAGTTAACCTATGTATGTTTATTTCCTGGGGAGTGAGTTCAATCATCGTGTATACAGTGTAATCCCTAGTAAAATTAATTAGGATTAGCTACTAATCCTAAAGCAACTAATTCTCTTTCATCCAGGAGGCCCTCTTGTTGCAACCCTCCAGGTACAGGTAGTCCTCAACCTTCAACAGTTCATTTAGTGACCATTCAAAGTTACAAGACTTAGAGCTACCAGGAATCAAATTCGCTCAGTATTGGGGGAACTGGAGATTACCTTGCAACAGGAGTGGGGAGAATATGCCCCATTTCATTCAATGCGGGAAGAAGCATAACAGGCGGCGAACGCTCCAGTCCCCCCCCCCCCCCCCCCCCCCC